AAAAAGAGGAAGATCCAGTCATACTTCTTGCCCCTGGACTAGTTTTGCATGGTATAACCACACCCGTCTTGTCTGTTTGAAGATCAGTAACTCTGAATAACATATACAAGCCTGTATAACGGCAATAGACTTTTCTGAAAACAGAGGGAAAGCCTTGCTGGGTGGAGCGAAGTGATGGAATTTAGACAATGCCCGTGGAACACTTTCATCACACAACATGTGATGAAAGTGTTGAAGTGTCTGATTTGTAAAACTGTAGTCAGACTCAAATACCTCGATGGATCTTTGTATGCCGGTGATGGGACCATTAGAGAGGTATGGGAGAGTACATTAAGACCCAGATCATAGAAAAGGATATTTAATCTCCCAAAAATAAAAGACTGATGAACACAGAAACTTCCTAAAAGTGAATTAGGCTCCTGACTGAATTCAGACTGTTTAAACTGCACCAAACACTGCAATAAAATGGAAATTTAGAACAACATCAGAAAGAACAGATAAAAGGTCTGCGGCCATGGCAGGTTTACTCACATCCCCTGCTAGTTGTTGAAACACCCTGCGAAACTGCCTTTCTTCATCGGTTTCATTCTGGTTTACGTATGCGAGTGGTCTTCTAGGAGGAGGCTGGAAGAGCAGACAAGTTAAGTACGGTGAGAAGTGCATTAAACTTCTTCAAGGTAAGATATCAATGGACCACTATATTAATCAATGGACATTCGCCAAAGTGCTTAATGACATGGCACAACCTCAACCATTCAACACAATGAAAAATAATAAATAAACAAATAAATATAAGTATATGCAAACTTACAGGATCAGAAGGAACAAACTGGTCGACATTGCTGTGATGCATGGAAAAGGAAAAAAGAGATATCATCACTGATGAATTGTTGAAAATGTATTTTGTTTTTCTTTGGACAAGCAGTAGTGAGAGTACAGACTTACCTGACAACATCTATGAACCCTTTAATAAGTTTGTTGGCCAAAAACATCTTGAGCACTCTAAACAAAATGATTGGATATATGATTATGCAATGTTTTTGATGTTTGTAACTTAATATACTGCACTAGATGCACATAGACCGATAGCTGTGGCAGTCAGCTCACTACAAAACTCTTTTATCATTACCTAGTAGTTAAAAAAGTAAATTTA